GCTATGTTGTGGCACCTCTTCCCGATGGGGGGATAATGCCCACTGGCACCAACGGGGTGAAGATACAGTTCACTTTCCTCGGTCTCGTTGTCCAGGGTCCTTTTCCTCTGTCAGTCCTCACAATGCACGCCCTGGACCCATCCTCTAACCCAGATTCCTCGCATCCTATGCATTCCTCACCACCTCCCGTGCCAACGTCCTACCTTCCTTCCCGAGCAAACCCCAGGTTACTTATGTCTTGGAACTGCTTCTGCAACAACTATGGCAGGTGCTTTGCACATAAAAGATGCTCCTTAAACGTCACTCCCTGCTTTGCTAATTTAGAAATCCCTTCACAGAAAGGATGCAAAGAGGCTCCCATCTTGTGACTTTTTCAAAGGGCTCTAAGTCTTACAGTGGAATCTTTCTTTGAAGGATTTTTAAATAATAACAATAAAAATAAGCGTGGGAGCCACAACCAGATTTACTTCTGATATGGCCAACTAGCTTACAAGGGAAAAACCCTCCTACTGAGGGCTATTGAAAGAGCTGTTGTTTTTTTTGTTTTTTTGTCTTCTTAAATAAGTTTGAATGCATCAGAGAGCTACCAACATCGTCAGGACTTGAGAGGCCAAGATCCTGGAGAGAAAGGAAGTACAGAAAGAAAAGATGGACACTGAGACCTTCTGATCCCCTCGAGGCACCTGCCAAGTCCTAAACAGAGCGTATCAGGCTAAAAAGCTGAGCAGCACTTTCAACAGTCTCACAGCTTCGGGTAACAAAAATTGGAGGTTCAGGGCTCACTGTGAAGGAGGAATCCTGGTTTAAAAAAAAATTCTTTTTTAGATACGTTTTCAGCTAAAACCCCTGAAAGGCTATAACCTGAGAGGAAGGGCTAATCAGAAATAGACCAGCTCTCACAAAGGTAAGCCCAGGGTCAAATCTATCTCAAGCCTACTTTTCCCAGAAGCAAAAAGTAAATCCTCTCTGAAGGAAGATTTAGAGCCTTGTATATCTCTTCAATTCTTAAGTTAAAAAAAGTCTAGCATTCAATAAAAAATTAGCAGGAATATCAGAATATAAGATGAACTGACTGAAAAGCAAAAGAAAAACAAAGAAATCTACAGAAGAACTGAATATTGGAGTCAGCAGACATGAACTTTAAAATAAGTACATTTAGGGCAGGTGCAGTGCCTCACACCTGTAATCCCAGCACTTTGGGAGGTCCAGGTGGGAGAATCACTTGAAGCCAGGAGTTCAAGAGCAGCCTGGGCACCATAGTGAGACCCCATCTCTACAAAAATTAAAAATTAGCCAGGCATGCTGGTGTGTGCCTGTAGTCCCAGCTACTTGGGAGGCTGAGGCAGGAAAATCACTTGAGCCCAGGAGTTTGAGGTTACCATGAGCTATGATCATGCCACTGCACTTCAGCCTAGGCAATAGAGGGGGACTGTCTCTAAAAATAAAATAAAATAAGTGCAATTAAATATTGAGGAAAACAGATAAGATGGATAATTCCATCTGAGAACTGGAAACTATTTAAAATATCAAATAAAAATTATAGAACTGAATATCACAATAGATGAAATTAAGAACTCAATTAACAGTATTAAACACAAATGAGGACAAGATTAATGGAGGCCAGGAATGGTGGCTCACATCTGTAATTCCAGCACTTTGGGAGGCCCAGGCAGGAGGACAGCTTGAGGCCAGGAATTCAAGAGCAGCCTGGGCAACATAGCAAGACCCCATCTCTACAAAAAATTAGCCAGACATGGTGGCATGCACCTTTAGTCCCAGCTACCTGGGAGGCTGAAGTGGGAGGACTGCTTGAGCCCAGGAGTACAGAGGTTGCAGTGAGCTATGATCATGCCATGCCACTGTGCTCCAACCTGGGTAACAGAGTGAGACCCTGTCTCCAGAAAAAAAAAAGAAAAAGAAAAAGAAGATTAATGAAGTAGAAAATAAGTCAGCTGAAAATATTCAGACTGAATCACAAAGAGCCAAAGAGCCAAAAGAGTGGAAAATAAGAAGAGTCTTAGCGATATAGTGAAAAGGTCTAATGCATATCATTAAAGTCCTAAAAGGAGATGAAAGAGAAGGTAGAAGCTATGATGAAAGATACCATGTCACAGGTGGTTCAAGATTTGCCATGGACCCGAAGCTACAGTTAGGCACATCAGAATACAACTGCTGAAACCCAAAGCAAAAACAAAATTTTAAGAGCAGCAACAGAACTGATAGCTGACTTCTCAACAGAAACAATGGAAACCAATGATATCTTCAAAGGGTTAAAAGAAAATACTAACGAAACCAATGACATCTTTGAAAGGTCGAAAGAAAATAACTATACTAACGTAGAATTCCTTCCTTACTGAAAATATCTCTTAAAAACAAGAACAAAATAGATAACTTTTCAGCAAACAAAAATCTGAATTTGTCACCATAAGATCGGCACTGGAAGGAAAATACTAAAGGTGTCTGTAAATACACCGTATTAAAGAAAAGTTCTAAAGTGAGTTCCAGGAGAAGGATCCTAGACAGATGCACAGAAATACAGGAAGGGACAAAGAGTAATAAAAAAAAGTAACAAATAAAGAGTAATAAAAGCTAAGGTGAATAAATCTAAATGAATATTGACTGTATAAAGCATTAATAAGAATGTCTGTTGTGACTCAAAATACAGAGAAAATTGAAATCCATGGCAAGACCAGCACAATAGGCAGAGAGGAGAAAGAGCTGTATGGTCTTTGGGTTGTCCAGGAAACGGCAGACGTAATCACTTTAACAGACTTCACTAGGTCAAGGTTGCTTGTTGCAATCTAGGTAACTGCTAAAAGAAAAGTATACCTCATAGGCTAATAAAAGAGAAATTACCCAAAACAAAAACACCTTAATCCAAAAGAAGGAAAAAAAGGCAAAAAAGAAAAGCACATAGAAAAGGGGACCAATAGAAAGTAACTAATAAGATGATACATCCAAGCGCGAATCCATCAAAAAATACATCAGACACAATGTAGTAAACACTCTGATTTAGAAGAGACTGAATTTCAAAAAAAAAAGCAAATCCTACATGCCTACAAGGGTGGCACCTTAAATACACAAATGCAGATAGGTTGAAAGTAAAAGGATGAACAAAGACGTACTACGTTATCACTAATCACAAGAAAGCGAATCCTCTCAGTAAACTAGAATAGAGAGGAAACTTCCTTAACCTAATAAAGAATATCTACAAAAAAACCTATAGCTAACATTATATTTAATGGTGGGAAACTAGAAACTTTCCCACTAAGATCAGAAACAAAGCAAGAATGTTCGCTCTCACCACTACTTTTCGACATCATACTGGAAGTCCTAGCTACTACAGTAAAACAAGAAAAGGAAATAAAAGTTATACAAATTAGGAAGAAAGAAATAAAACTGTCTTTTAAGACAAGATGATCATCTCATCAACAAAAGAATCAACAAAGAAACTCCTAGAACGAATACGTTATTATAGCAAGGTGGCAAAATACAAGGTTAATAGACAAAAGTCGATCACTTTCCCATATACTACTAGCAATGAACAAGTGAAATTTGAAGTTAAAAACACAATATCATTTATACTAGTATAACTATAATACCATTTTGGTATTATAATGCCAAAAAATGAAATAAGTATAAATAGGTATAAATCTAACAAAATATGTACAAGATCTATATTATAAGGAAAAATACAAAACTCTGATGAAAGAAATAAAAGAACTAAGTCAATGGAGAGATATTCTGCGTTCATGGATAAGAAGATTCAATAGTGTCAAAATGTCAGTTCTTGCCAACTTAATCTATAGAGTCAATGCAATCCCCATCAAAAATCCCAGCAAGTTAGTTTGTGGATACTAACAAACCGATTCCAAAGTATACATGAGTGGCAAAAGACCCAGAATAGCCAACTCAGCATTGAAGGAGAATAACAAAGTTGGAGGACTAATACTACCCAATTTCAAGACTTACTATAAGGCTACAGGAATCAAAACAGTGTGGTACTGGGAAGAACAGGCAAACAGATCAGTGGAACAGACCAGAGAGGCCAGAAATAGACCCACATAAACACAGTCAGCTGATCTTTGAAAAGGAGCAGCGGCAACACAACGGAGCAAAGATAAGGTTTTCAACAAATGGTTCTGGAACGATATGCAAAAAAATTAATCTAGACACAGATTATTCACATAAACTAACTCAGAAGGAATCACAGACCTAGATGTAAAAACACAAAACTATGAGATAACACAGGATGAAATAAACTAGGAGATAACAGCATCCAAGAGCTGCAGAAAAGCCTCCACTGACTGAGCCCTTACTATGGACCATACTGTGGACCAGGCCTTGAGCTCTACATCAATCATTCCATTCATCACCTCATTATCACACCCCCTCTGAACAGATGAAGAAATGGAGGTTCAGCAAGCACAGAAAGAGTGAGTATCTGGCCCCAAGTCACCAGCTTGCTCTTAATCTCCCCAGTGCCAAATTCCAGAGAGATTTGACTAAATTCTTCATTCACATAAATATACCCCATGGTGCTGAAATAACTGAGGTCTCACGCAGACTGAATAAACATCAACTGTCAATGACCTGCTACGTCAACAAAAATCCACACTGCTTCAAGCTCCTACTGTATACAAGACAGTGAGAATCTTTTTTAAAAAAGCAACAATTTATTAAGCTCTTACTCAAACTTATAATTCAAAGTTACGAGCACTAAACATTTTTTATATCCTTTAATCCTCACAACAACCCGCCAGGTAGGTCTTCATCCCCATTCTACACAGGAGTGAGACTCCATGGCAGGAAGGATGCTGTGCTAGCTACAGATGCACAGAAATGGACCCTGTGGGCAAACCCTGAATGACCACCCACCAGGTGAGACCATTAGAAATCCTAAAGAAAAGAAAAAGCACGAAAGAACACATAAAGGGCTCTTTCAATAGACATTAAAATTGAAACCCTGCTGCTCTGTCATTTAACAAATACATTTTTATTCTCTGTTATTATACATACCACAGTTTTATGACAGGATGATAAATACAGGTTTCTATTGGTCACATTCACAGCCAGTATTTCCACTGTGTCAGGTCAGAAAGACAGTGATCACCTTAGTGAACAATTTCATTGAGTAAAGCTGCCTTCAACCTTGACTAAAGACAGATGCCTACGACAGCCATTTCCATGGCCTGGTCTACACTCTACATACACCATCTCTCTTCCCTGGCACAGAGAAAGTCAGACCCGTCTCTTACATGGTGAGTCACTCACATTACTACATTTCATGTTCACCAGATCCGTTTCATAAAGGAGTGAAGTAACACTAAGAGAGATTAAGTGACTTAGCCAAGGTCACACAGCTAGGAAGTAGCAGACTGGGGACAAGAATCCAGTCTTCTGCTAGCTAGCCCAGTGTTCTGTCCAAGGACATACCAGGCCCAGGACACCTTAGCCACGTGGGGCTGTAGGACCTTTCTGCATGTAGATAAACACATAACAGACAGATAGGCCAAGAGCTAGGAGGGCATAGAGTAAGTTGGAAATTCTCAGAACCTTGGTCCTGGAAGGGCCCTTACGAATCATCCATTATACACCCATTATATAGACGGGCAAATTGAGGACCAGCCAAAGAAAGTAACTTGTCAAACGTTATGCAGCTAAAAGTGGCAGATCAGGTCCAGAACCCAGGTCCATACCAATTTTATCATTCAACTGAGTTTGGGGAACAATTTGCAAAAGGTGCTATGGAGACGGCAAAACAATCCACAGGATTTTTTTTCCTTGGCAGGCTCAGGTCATGCACAAAAAGTCTAAGGTACAGTCTTTATCCTTGAGGAGTTTACAGTCTAGCTAGAAAAACTAGCGTGTACACAGGAAAACAGAATCAGTAACACGGAACATCAGTATAGGTGGCAGTTATATCAACAACTTAAAGGAGTCAGAGAGCAGCAGAGCTGGCTGTGCTGGAAGGCTTCCTGAAGGAAGAGTAAGGAAAGATGGGCTTTAAAGCATAAATAGGAGTCTGATAGATAGAAAGGAACAGGCATGTCAGACCAAGAAAGCGTTTCAACTTATAAAGGGGCTATGTGGGAGAAGAAGCCAAAATTGTAGGTGAAGGCGGGTCTTGGGGGCTAGGGAGCCTTCCAAAGCCAGGTCAGGGCTTTGGGACTTGGGCCTATGGAACAACGGGTCTTTCACCTTGTTCGAGGGCCTCTGAGCTCATCACAGAATTCCACGAGTGAATGATCACACTTCATGCGGGGACAATGTTAGCATCAGAAAACACGACTGTGCTTATACATCCGCAGCATAACCACAACCCTAAGCATGCACACTTTTGAACAAAATAAATCCTCCAGTCAAACAGGGTCAGTCTCTTCCAAATATTCACATTAACAGTGATCTGCCTTTGTCTCTTTCTTCCGTCTCTGTCTTCTGTGGCCTGTGTGCTAGGTGCCACTGTCTTTCTTAAAATATGGGGGAGAAAACCACAAAAATGGAGAGAATTCTGAAACTAACTTATTTTTCTCAGATTGGAAAGAGGAAGTCTTACAATTTTAGACATTCAAGGCAATGCCACAAAGAGCAGTATCCTCTCTGGGCCTCAGTCTCTCCCACTGACATGAGGGGTTGGGGATAGAAGCATCATCTGAGACCAAGTTTCGGACGCATGGAGTCCCCCAGTCGCCATCTTCGTATCTCCTGGGCTCTCCGGACACCGGAAGGGATGGGAGACGGGCCCTTCCATCCATGTCCACGGTTCTGAGCAGCAGAGTAGCTTGGGCTGGGACCAGCTCAGCGACTGTCAGCTTCTGCAAAGGCCAGGGGTCAGCATTTTTGTGCCGTGTCCCACAGTGAGCACGACACCCCTATTGCTGACGTGACTGACCCCCTTCACAGTGCCCCAGATGCTGCTCTCACCGGGGGCTCGCCACTGGCCGTGTGGGGGTCCTGAAGCCTCCCCCACTTCTCGGTCTTGGAGGAAGATGAGTACCTTTGTCCCTAGGTCACCTGGCCAGGAACGGGCAGCACCCTGTGCCCAGGATGTGGGCTTCTATGAGCTGGCAGGGGCACGGAACCCTCGGAGAGTCTGTGTGTCGTGTTCCCCCTGTCTGGGGGAGCTGGGAGGTGACCAGGAGCCGGATGTAGTAGCCGCCAAACACTGCCAGCAGCTGCCGGGCCATGTCCTAGAAGAGGCAGGGAAGCACAGTGAGGGCCACAGGAAAGCACCTGGAGGGGCGTGGGGCTCAGGCACGAGGGGAAGGCCAAG